TTTTTTCCACTGTTGTTTGAGAGTGAGATGAGGCTCCAGCGGTCGTGTTCATTGAAGACCTTGACCATTTTCTGGACATAGGCCTCCTTCATTGTAGCACTGCTGATCCGCTCCCTGTTGACCCCAGCAGGTAGGTAATCCAGCAAGCAGCCCAGCACAGACTCTTTGATTACCTGGGAGGAGAAGAGGTCAACAACATGACAGCTACAACTAATGACTGCAATATGAGGGCAATTTTGCTTTTATCATTAAATTGAATATTGTGATGCTCTTGTGGTTTAGTTTGCTGTATAATGCAGTGAAAATATATATAAAAAACAGTACTGATTCAACCTTATGGTAAAATGTTGCACAGTTAAATTACGGTTAATACAATAATATCATTACTTCAACACTATACATTGACCTGCTTCTTTTCCCTAAGCGAGCAGTATAGTAATCATACCTGGAACTCCTCCTGACTGGGCAACTCCACTCCAAAGATGATGTCCAGGTCCTTGTAGCTCGTTCCGTTGTCTCGGACGAGGACGTGGGATGCCGTGGATCCGTTCAGACGCACATCTCTTACTGTGATTCCCTGCTTCTGCAGCCTGGCCCTCACAGCTATGATGATATCTCGGGGACGCAGCTCCAATGTGGGAAAGTTCCCACGGCCGTGGATTGGAACCACTTCTGACAAAACCTGGTGGAGAACCTCCACCTGCTCGGCATTCAGGCTGTGGAACCGCTGACTGGATTTGGTTTCAGACATACTGCTGCCCTGAAGGGAGGGAAGGAGGATGTCAATAAAAGTTTGACAACTCCCCAACAAAATGTGCTGTGTGTTTAACTCTCTCGCTCTCTCTGTCTCACACACACTTAGCACTCAATCACACTCATATGCACACTCCCTGCCAGTATGCTGTCCACAAGTCACAGCTTGGTTGACAGCTTTTCCACAATGCTAATGTAACTGCTGTGTTGACGAGCGGACACATGGCGCGATCCACATAGATGTGCTTTGCATAAATATTCTTCCACTGCTCAACCAGATCATAACAAATTAAGAGGAAGTGTTTGATTAGAATCACAGAATCTGAAACGCATTACAGTATTTACCCCACAAGACTTCAATCACACTTGTTAAAATCCCTTTAACAAGTTCTTTCAACATTACACAGAATAACAATAAAAACTGACTTGCACTCAATTATTGTGTAAAATAATAATAATAACAACTCAACTAAATCTTTGTTTATTGATTGTTTCTACCAGAGGAGCAAGGGTTAAGCTGAATGAGTCATCACCAGCAGACTGCATTAATCACACCAACGTCACTAATTAAAGACACACATCTGTTTTTGTGTCCGTGTGCAGCACATGATGTGTACACATTACAAACAATGACTCCGTACACACATTCATGTCAGTGCACACAAGCTTTTGTAAACACATTTTGTAAAGTGTAACACTAATTGGAACAAAGTGCGATATAATATCAGGCAATTATTTTTGTTTGGCTTTTCACATGTGTAATCCTTCTGGCAGTCAACGCACGCAGCCTCTGCATCCATCGAGTCCATCAATCAATTTCTACAAACTAGACATATTTTTCAATAAACCAAACAACATTTGCCTAACCAAGTCAGAAGAGTCTCTGTTATAGGATTGGGTGTGGGTGCATGTGAAAGTGTTTCAGGGGATGAGTGCTCATGTTTGAGTGTGCAACTGTGGTTCATAGCAGCCCATTATGATCTACTGTTTGCTTTAATCAATAGATGTCACTCAGTGCTACAGCTCAACGCTACTGATTGCTATGATTTGTCAATACTAGCAGGGTAAACATTGGGATTCTAATGAGCAGTAATGGGATGCTCTCTGGTAGCAGTTTGTCAGACATCAGAGGGCTGCAGTCTGTTACAACCACAAACAATCTATTATATGGAGTGTTTAGAAATCCTCTAATTCATGTAGTACACATTTCAACAAACAGTACTTTACTCCAGGGCATCTGTAAAGCTACAAAAGGCAGCCTCTCTGCTCATTTAAAAAGAACTGAGTATGCTTACCAGAAGACAAAGAAGTTGATTCTGAGAACACAAAGCCCTTAAAAAACTGCTGTGGATGAGAAATCTGCCTGTGCATCGTTTTAATAAGCTGAACTTGGCAAAAATTGTATTTGCACGTCCAGAGGCGATGAAAATTCAGTTCCAGATGTTGACACTGATCATATACAGGAAACAATGCGTTGAGGAGGCAGAGAGGCACTGCGGGACTGTTTTCCAGCTAGCCCCTGTCTCTCCCCCCTCCCCTTTCACACTCTTCTGCAAACTTGAGTGACTCATCCGGGCGTATCGGCTCAGCTCGCACATAATCTATGGCCACTGAAAAGCCAACAAATCTGAGGGTGTCATGTATACTGGACTAAATCTAAAGCAAACACAAACAATAACGCTCAGTAAACTTAGGTTGCTGTCTCTAGTTTAAAAACTATAAAGGAGTATACAAGAAAAAAAGTCTGTCCTGTGTATAGAAAACTAGATAAAGCCAGAGTAGCCCTATGTGTCCCTGACTTTTTAAAATGATACACTGATCTTGTATGTATCTAAATTTCCTTTTTTTCCTCTTCCATTTAACTAAACAGCTATGATTTTATGAACTGTGGATCAGCAACTCAGTGTTTGTTGTGTTATAATGCAAAATGTTTTATCTACTGACCAAACATTTTGTATAAAATCTTTAAAATGTTACTGCTAGCCCTGACAATACTTTTCTAAAAACAATGGGAGTTGTTTCCCCATCAAATAACCACCAACTGGAGGTTATAGTTTGTCTTCTGAACAGTTTCACAGCCCATCACTACTGGACCTGCTCCAGCGCCCTGCTGAATTTCACTCTGCCCTGCTGGTCTTCACTCTAATCACCTAATCATGCATTTACTTACTCCTGAGATACCAGGTGAGGGCAATTAACCGCAATTGAGTGTCAGCCAGGATAAAGAGCAGGCGCACTTCTGAGTACCAGGATTAAAAGCACATTAGATACCATGCAGCCACACAAGACTGAATTATCCAACTTTCCAGAGCTGAAGGCTCTTCTTACCTGTTGCTGGTGCATTTGAGGGAGCGACTGGCTCCTCGCTGGGCAGTAGAATGAAACCCTGCGCATCCACCGAGCTTCAGGTCCGGAGAGTATGTGTCTTTAGTAGGTGGGCTTGTTTTTCTTTTAAAGTCCCTACCCACTCCGCTTAGACTTGGTACTGATGCGGCTCTGTCTCTTATAAGGCATGTGAGGCTAGAATCGGTGCGCGAGTTCATTCGGGCGCTGTCCAGGAGCTCGCGTGGTGCTGAAATGAAGACCGGAATGAGTCCTCGCGCTCTTGTTTTCTCCTCCGGCCGCCCGGAGCGTAACGCAGTTTCCATAGCGACCTGCCGTCATTCAGTTATGACTGGGGGGGAGTGTGTGTGTGTGTGTGTGTGTGTGTGTGTGTGTGTGTACACCAGTCTATGGTCACAATAATGGTGGTGGAGTTGTGTCGTGCTGGTGGCGCGAGCGACATTAACAGGTGTAATATAATTAAAGTGTGTGCTCCATGTCTTAAAAATAAAAGTTTAAAATACGAGCAAAATCCAGGACCAGTGAGACTGAACCTTTAGCTAAAACATGTGTAGCCTACTGCCCGAAGGAAGGGCTGCACAGACTTATAACCCAAGTAGGTCGGTTGAATGGAGAAGCACTTTATTGTGTTCCTGTGTTTATGGTATAAAGGGGAGTTAAAATGGCGTGAAATCACAGTGTAACCTCAACTGTTACCCCTAGGCTGTGCTGGGGTTGTGGCCGGGACCTCTGTGTTTGGGTTATGCAGCTAGCTCAAACCTCGGGGAGACTAACCTCGGAGGACCCTGCTATTTTAAAACAACTCTCATTCAGTTCTTCACTCACGCACACATTCATATCTAGTGCTGTGTCCATTCAGACTATCAGTGGATACAGTATGAGTCATCCATCCTGCTCCCTCCCCCCTGACCCAGCCGTTAAACCCCCTCCTCAGCCCCCTCCGGCTGGCCGGTGAACGCACACACCGAAACCTTTTTTTCCTCTCTCCGGACAAACCAATGATCCTGTTTCTCCTCGTGCTGCGTTTTATTGCCGTCTGTTCCATCTCTTCAGCACCAACAGCCTAATAAGTCCCTATGTTCCCGACTGTGTCCCCATCAGCTCACAGACCAATTCAGACTACAATCCTCTCAAAACTTTACAAACCACGGTTACAGATGACCTACTCTTTGATGCATCGGACATAACGTGGAAGAGACATGATTGAAAGCGTTAAGGCAAACAACTCCGTAGAAAAGGTCAATTTACTCCTTCACTAAAAAAAAGCACAACTGACGTCACTAGACGTGTACCACAACCTACCGATACCGGGTACAAACTATTTTTAGCCTGGATGGAACTTGTCTGCTTTGGACACGCGCGCCAGTCCACTTCTCGAACAGTCGTGACGTAGGAGGCGCGAGCACGCCATGTAAAATCGTGACAGTGTGACGACGGTGAAAGGTAGCGACCGTGTTCAAAGATAAAGGTAAGTCAAGATAGTTCACACACCATAGTCTAGCCTGGAGAGTAGGTGGTCTGGTGGCCTCATGGCTATGTGTCCAGCCATCGTTCCAGCAAATCGATGCAGTTGACCAGTAAAAACGATAATGTCATATATCACATGGACCCTTTCTCACAAGTAGTCATTTGTTAGATATATTATACAAAACAGATAAGATATGAAGAGAAATTCATGAATAGTATGTACTGCAAAACAAACAACGCGCTGCGCATGCGTCCGTGAGAGCACCTGATTTTTTACGTTTCAAAATCTGTTTACAAATTTTTTTTCTTACCTAAATAAATTACAAAAGCTCTCCTGAAGTAAAAACAAAAACAAAACCTCTGTTCAGAAAATTACGAGACAGTCGTTTTGACTGCATAACTGATTTTAAGCAAATGCGGAAGTACGTGTAAGTGGAGCCTCTCGCCTCGCTACAGTGACGAATGTACGCTAGCTTGAAAAAAATCAAAACAAACAATTCTGAAGTGAGTGCGTGGATGCTACTTTGTGTCAGTACATAACTAGATTGAGTGTTTGTCTCAGAAAGAGGCCTTCATCATGTCGAATATGGAGAGTATCCTTTCCTGAGAAGTCTAACATGCATAAAGGTGGATAGCCTACAGTTAGTTACCAGCAGTAGACAAATGTAAGCTGGGTTTGGCAACGTTAGCTTCTCCTGTTATGCAGTAGCTTATAAGCTTCTGTCCAGTCATTCAGTGATGAAGGGAAACAGTAGTAGGCTAACATGGCTAGCTCGCCTACCTGAATTTATGACTCTTTATTTACATTTTTACTTGTCTAGGTAAAACAATTAGTCTTACCTGCACTGAGTTGGACTGAATTAGCTCAGTGTCTTTGGGTGCTTTAGTCTATATTTAGTATATGTGTCATAATTCTAATTTATTAACGTTTCATTACTAAAATCAACCCCTTGACCAGCCATTCAGAACACTTGTTCAACCTCAAGTTTGCTGCCAAGGAGCTACAGCGCAACTCCAAGAAATGTGACAAAGAGGAAAAGGCAGAAAAGGCTAAAGTGAAGCAGGTTGGCTTGTTATGTTGTGGATTTTATAGAGACCAGTATCCAGTGACAATCTGAGTGATTAGTGCAGCTACAGTCTGTAATACAGTCCCTTCTAAAAGTATTGGAACGGTAAGGCAAATTCCTTTGGTTTTGTTGTTCACTGAAGACATTTGGGTTTAAGATCAAAAGATGAGTATGAGACAAGAGTTCAGAATTTCAGCTTTCATTTCCTGGAATTCACATCTAGATGTGTTAAACAACTCAGGACATACCACCCTTTGTTTGAACCCACCCATTTTTTAAGTGAGCAAAACTATTGGAACATGTGACTGACAGATGTTTCTTGTTGCCCAGGTGTTGCCTTTTAGGTTGATAGTCCAAAAATTAAATAGCTCTGCATGACTAGTCTAAGTTTTCATCCTTGGTTCAAACCTATAAAGACTGCATTTCCTGTTAAAGAGGATAAACCAACATGAAGATCAGAGAGCTGTCTGTGGGAGAAAAGCAAGCCATTGTCAAGCTGAGAAAAGAAAGAAAATCGACCAGAGCCGTTGGACAAACATTGGGCATAGCAAGCACAACAATTTGGAATGTCCTGAAAAAGAGAGAAACTACTGGTGTAGTGAGCAACAGATGTCCAACAGGTCGGTCAAGGAAAACAACAGTAGTTGATGACAGAAATATGGTGAGAGCTGTGAAGAAAACTCCCAAAACATCAGTACCTGACATCACCAACGACCTCCAAGGGTGCAGGGGTGAAGGTATCACAATCCACTGTTCGAAGAAGACTCAGAGAGCAGAAATATAGAGGACACACCACAAACCACTCATCAGCAGGGTGTGCATGGCTGCTTCTGGAACAGGCTCATTAATATTTATTGATGATGTAACTGATGATGGTAGCAGCAGAATGAGTTCAGAAGTGGACAGAAACATTTTGTCTGCCAATGTACGGAGAAATGCATTTAAACTAATCGGGAGGAAGTTTATCATGTAGCAGGACAATGACCCAAAGAACACTGCCAACAAAACAAAGGACTTCATCAGGGGAAAAAGTGGAAGGTTTTAGACTGGCCAAGTCAATCATCTGACCTTAACTCAACAGAGCTGCACTTCACCTCCTTAAGAGGAGACTGAAGGGAGAAACCCCCCGAAACAAACAAGAAATGAAAGAAGCTGCGGTAAAAGCCTGGAATAGCATCACAAATGAAGAATGCAACAGTTTGGTGATGTCGATGGGTCGCAGGCTTGAGGCAGTTATTGCAAGCAAGGGTTATACCACCAAATGTTATTTACTTTAAGATTTGTTATTCCATTACTTTTGCTCACCTAAGAATGCTGTGGTCTAATACAAACGGTGATATGTCCTGAGTTGTTTCACACATCTAGATGTGAATACCAGGAAATAAAAGCTGAAATTCTGAACTCTTGTCTCATACTCATCTTTAGATCTTAAACCCAAATGTCTTCAGTGAACAACAAAAACAAAGGAATTTTCCTTACCGTTACAATACTTTTGGAGGGGACTGTATGTTTGTGTATGAACTCCTCTTTCCTTTGTTTCTCAGGCAATCCAGAAGGGTAATATGGAGGCAGCCAGGATCCATGCAGAGAACGCCATCCGTCAGAAGCATCAGTCCATTAACTTTTTGAGGATTAGTGCACGTGTGGATGCTGTGGCGTCTAGGGTCCAGACTGCTGTCACTATGAACCAGGTCAGGCTTGCTGGCCAGTGGTTTGTAGAAGACATGTCTTGCTTTGTGATGTTACGTAAAGCAGTTCAATGACAGCCAGTGGAAAAACATACCTAATCCTTTGGCTGCAGCCAAACATCCATCTTTCAAGATAACCTCTTATTCGGAGTATTGCCCGATAATTTGAAGTAGAGGAAATGTAAAGGGTTTGTACTGTCTGCTGTAGTGAAAAATTAGCTCAACCACCTCCTTGCAGGTAGATATCTTAAGAATGACCCCCTGTATTCACTGATAAAGATGTAGAAATTACATGGCTTTTACCTGATAGTAGTTATATTGGTATAAATGTGGACCTACATACATCCATGCATACATATGTATAGGCTATATATCTTATTTGAGAAGAGTGTAACCATTTCAGGGTAGAATGTCCGAAGTAGTCTTTCATTAAGATTTACCGAACCAAAGGTTTACACAAAGGAGACAGAGGGAGTGAGAGTGAGCAAAAAAGGCTAGCAGACATGCAAACAAAAAGCCATCAATTACATAATGTCATTAGATGTGCTTCAGACTTTAGGCTTTTAGCTTCTCGCTCATATGAGAGTGACAGCCTCTTTAAATTGCTTTAATTCAGGTTCACTGTAGGACAGGCATTATTTCATATAATAGAACTTATTAGTGTCTATAGAAATGGAAGCACAGTGTGAGATGGTATTGTTGAAAAACACCTCTGTATGTTGTAATACTGCTGTCTGTCTTTTCATAAAACATGAACACAATAGCATTCATGATAATCCCCTTTACCATAATTTGGACAACTATTGTCAGGTTAACTAGCTTAATCCTTGAAATATTAGGGAAGCAGAGGTAGTCATGGCAAAGTGTCTGATCTAAAAGGTAAAAGTGACACCTAGTGGAAATAAAAGGATATGTCACTCTAAGCAGTGCCATCCCAGCAGCCATCTCTCGGTCTGATTTCAAATACCCGACTCTTGTTTTGAATTGCAGCAAATCAGACCAGTAAAACGTGAGAAGACAACAGAGGCTTCAACACTTTATGTAACATGTTTTTTGCCCAGGTATCTAAATCCATGTCGGGAGTGGTCAAGTCCATGGATGCTACTCTGAAAAGCATGAATCTGGAGAAGGTAAAAAACACAAGCGCAGACAGACACATAGACAAAGTGAGACAAAATATGTTCATTAAGATTTTCTAAGTATTTTTTTCCCCCATCGATCTCTCTTTACAGATCTCTGCATTAATGGACAAGTTTGAAAACCAATTTGAAACTCTGGATGTGCAGACAGCGCAAATGGAAGACACAATGGGCAACACAACTACTCTGACTACACCTCAGGTACTAAGCACTGTCCTCTTACAACCTGGGGGCACTATGCTCCCTTGGCCACTTATGAAGGCAGGCTTAACCCCAGTAATAATTCAAACACTGAATCCTGTAAACACATATTTTTGAAATTACTGTTTGCTTGGTCCTTAGAATGAAGTGGATCTGCTTTTACATAAGATGGCTGATGAAGCAGGGTGAGTATGGCCCATATCTCCAAACAATTTGAAAACATAATTAACTGTTTATACTTTATTTAAATGATGTTCATATTCAAATCTAGGAATTAGGCTTCCTTGTAATACAAAAAGCCCATCAAGATTTATTCCAAAAATATGTGATGTGACATCAGAATGACTTTAATAACCCCCATTTTTTAAATTTCTGTAAGAGCTAAGCAGCCAAGGAGAAATTATGGTTAAACCTTTCCTGTGTATTTTCCCTTTTTTATAGGTTGGATCTTAACCTGGAGCTTCCTGCAGGCCAGACTTCCTCACTGGCTTCATCTGTGGCGTCGACTGAGCAGGTAACGCTTCCACTCTTATCATTATGTCGTCGCTATTTTTGGTGTTTTGCATCCCAGAAACAGAATTCACACATTATCTTCAGTGTCTTTGGCAGTCTCATCTGCACACATGGGCTAGTGTCACCCAAATGGAAATGCAAAGTGATTCTCCACTGGAGCACTCACTTGAATTATGTACAGTACGGAGGTTTGAACACTGACAAGTTTTGACAATGAACAAGTTTTGACAATGAACAAAAATGTTAAAATATCCGCAGGAAGGAGCTGAAAGCACTCCTGCAGCCTAATACACGCTGCTCAACATGTTTCACCAAGAATGGCTAAAACACATGGCCTCTGGTGGAGCTAACAACCTCATGGAGAGTGTTAGTTTGACACTGGAGCCTTTTTTAAACAATGACTCTTTGGAACATTGTGATCATACAGATCGACAGCGGGAAGGTGGATTACGTGGCAGGAAGAGTTGTTCCTAAAGACGTTTTCCATTATGACAACTCACCAGTGGAATCCACTGTAACAAACATAATTCAAGCTGACCGCAGCCGCTGTTTGTTAGGGACATAACTAGAAACTTTATGCCTTCACTTTCCACGCCTACAAGGGTTGAGTGATACTCTGAGAAGTATCACTTTTTCTGACTCGAGGCACTGTCTAAACCTAGAATTATATTAATGAGTTTATAGCCACTAATGCAATAATAAAACAGATATTTTAGGTTTTAAAAGTGATTGAATTTGAGATGAAAATATTTGTCTCAAAATGTTGGACTGCTGGCGTTTGTAAGACCAATACAAGTTTATCTTTGTGTAGATGTCCCCTTTACGATTTTAACTGTTTTGTGTTATCAGGATGAGCTCTCCCAGAGGCTGTCCAGACTGCGAGAACAGGTGTCATAATGATGTAGAAAATTACAAGATCAGGAGGAGGGAGAAGAGCAGGGAGTGAAACATTGGAGAATAAACAAAGAAGGTGCCATGTGCCTGCAAGCTCTGTGCCCTCGTCTGTGTTCCAGGTTTGTACTTTTGTGAGAAATAAAAGGAGCTGTCTAAACGCAGAAGAGGACGGAGATGGGGGGGGGGACCCAGGATACTTACAGTCCTGGTATTAACTGCATACCATACAGTCCTTCCACAATTATGTTCATTTGCACACTCATATTTAACATGGATTCTGATTATTAGCTCAGCAATAGGACACTGCTGTGCTGGTATGTGGTGTGTGTTTTTTTTTTTTTTTTTAAGGTGGTACAAATTGGATATATTCTTCAATAGAAATTTATGCGCTAATTGTTGAGAAGAAAACAATTGTTTAACGCTTTATAACTAATACCCTATTCCAAACTGGTTGCACACTGTGTATAAAATGCAATTTTTTATTTATTTATTTATTTGTGTGCGTATGTATTTATTTACTGACTGACTTGGTATGGAGAAGAGCATGCTTCTAACCATTTTGTCTGACCTGCATGTCTGAGGATGTGGGGACCTCTAGATTGTTGCCTTGTCTGTTTCTGTTTTGCTCTGAAATTTTGGCTGTAGTGCTGAACCATAAACTTGTTTAATTTTGTTATATTTTAATCCAAAAGAGGGCTCATTGTTAATGTTTGCTTTGGAGAAAGCTGGAATATTACTGATTTTCTGCATGTAGCGGTAACCACTGGCTCACCACTCACTTACATGCAAAGACGTGGTCATTAAAAGAGTATAACATTTGACTTGTCACATTCTTGTCAGTTTATTGCTGTGTTATGGGCAAAGTATGCATCCCTGCATGCTCCTCTGTCCCTCCTTTTTTCCATTTGACCCCTCCCGTTTCTCTCCTCCAACAGGGAACAGATGAGAGGTCAAAGGTGTCACCTGTAGAGGAAGCGGCCTTCTGCCGCTCGCATGCCAGTGCCTCATTACATACACACACACACACGCACCCCATATCCCAGGGGTAGACTCAGCTGGGAGCCATTACAGGTGCTGTCCAAACACACACAAATATCTATACATGAACACACCCGCAACCCCCGTAGCTGATGGGAGTCTTCCAGAGTGACACTCAGCCACCTCTGACCCTTTCTGTGTCCTTCCTAATCATCATCAGCACACACTTAACTACATTCACAATCATCATCAGTGCCCCCAGACTGACACAAGTCTCTATTTTGCCTGTTATGCACATACTACTTCGAGTCCTCAGTTGTTATAGTTATCCAAAAAAACACTGGCCCCAGTGATCCAACAGCTGTCAGTCATTTCTGCCAGGAGTTAATCACCTGAAATTAAAATGCCATGTCCCTCTGCTGTCAGAGCCACAAAATCTATTTGGTGAGTTTTGTTTTAAAATTTATTTTTAACCTGCACTGGTCATGTCTTTAAGTATGATTAAAGACATGACCAGTCTTTCATGGCCTATTTTTTTTTCTCTCCGCTTTGTGCATCTCAACATATGTGCAGGGATGCTTCTTCCAGATGTGCTGAAGCCAGATCCTGCATGCACACTGCTCTGGGGGAAACCTGTGTTTGTACATGTCTGTGTGTCAGGTGTTGATATCTAGTGGCTTTCTTCCCCACTCCTAGAGGAGTGGTACTTGCTGACAGGCAGGGATCCGGTGGGCCGGTGGTCTTGTCCCCGTGGCCGACCTGTCGGTTTCTGCACAGGGGGGTGAGCTGCTCAGAGCCACATGCGCTAGCTTGGTGAAAAAGCTCTAATTAAAAAAAGGGGGATTGGTTAGACTACAGTATGATTCACACACAGGATATGAAACTGTATGTCCAGACAGGCCTGAGCTGGGACTCAGCAGGAGAAGACACATGTTGCTAAAGCTTAGTTCTTTATCTTGAGAATAAAATTAAAAGCACTATTTTACATTTCTGAAATTTCTGATTGATTTTTAAAAAACAGGTTTTCTTGACACAACTACCTAGTGTTCACAAGGATTGGCGAGTCTTTTGGTCACGACTCACAGCAGGTCAGCTGGACATGGAAAATATATCTATCTGTATAGAGAGAGAGAGAGAGAGATAATTTAAACATTGTTTATATTATACGTAACACTATAATATACTACTAAGAATAATGTTTCTAATAATGAATGACCATGTATGTGCAGTTTCTAGCTGAATCAATAAATCAATAAGTTGATTGACAGGAAAGTCATTGACAACTGTTTTGATAACAGATTAACCTTTCAGTATTTTATTAAAGCATGATTAAAAAATTCAAGAAAAACATTTGCTGGTTCCAGCTTCTCATATCAGATCATTTGCAGCTTTTATTTATGTTATGTCTCCTGCGTTTTGGACTTTTGGTCGGCACATACTTGTGTTTAAATGGAGTAGTTGTTCAGGAAGCTTTGTTAGAAATTATCAAGATTTCTTTTAGAAAAGACTGACCTGCAATATACTAATTATAGGTTTCACTTTATAAGAATAAGAATTGTATTTATAGAACTTATAATATTTAACAAGAATATGTGTATATTGCTTGTTTTGTTGTTTATATTCTTTGTTGTATACCTTGTATACCTTTAAAACTGTTTTGTGGTAACAGTTCTTTTGCTTTTGTTACAAGTATCATCACAGTAAAGATACTCGTGATGTATTTAAGGTGGAAAAGTTTCATGGAATGAGGTCGGACAGGCTCCTCTTTTCCTCTCCTTGTCCCCTTCTCCTCCTTAGCCTCCCATTTGAAATATTCTATTACAATGTGTGAAGGGTCAGGTCAAACACAGGAAGCCGGGCTGATTGGTTCTACTCAGATATCGACGGGCATGTGTGACCAATCGCTGCTGCCCAGGGCTTTCCCCAGTCTCCATCTGCCGCTGCTGATAAGTGTGTGTCTAATCGATGCAAACCAAGGCTCTCCCCAGTTTCCACTCACCTCTTGACCATTGCTTCCTGTCAGATGTGTTAACTCTGCTTTTAATCACACACACACACACACACACGTGCTGATACACCTGGCCCTATCCATCCTGCTCTGCAGAGCACGCTTCATTAAGATTTCACCTCACCCCTTCACCCACCCTGATATCTCTTACAGTCAAACAACCCGTGAACATGTAGCCTATATGCAGCCTTGTACTCTTTTACTCTTTATTGAGGCTGTCTTTGTGTCTACACACGTGAATGCAGTACGGAATGTGTGCCACGCTTCATTATTACATTAAAGTTCATCACCTCACATAGGCAACTGCCGCCTAAGGCTAAATCAAACAAATAAAGAGTTCTCATTTACCCCACGTGTTTCACAACTGTAAACACACTTTATGCCTTTTCTTCTTTTTCTGGTTTGGCTCTCTGGAGTGATCTTTTTAGGCAAGCTAGCAGTGCAGCTAAAAAGAGTTGTTTTGATAACTATCGGATGGATTGTCGCAAGGTTGGTTCAGACAAAGATTCATGTTCCCCCAGAATGAACCCGAATAACTTTGGTGATCCTTTTATGTTTCATCTACTGCCATTATCAGGTCAAAAATGTAAATATATAGGCTATATACATTATACAATATATATTTACTGTAGTAGTTAAAATGTTCGCGGGCTTATACACTAAACTAAGACAGTAAGCGCACAGGGTATATACGCTGTAACATCGAACTAGCATTGTTGCGTGCATGTGAGCATGCTGCTCAAAGCACCACTGTGCCGAAGTACAGCCTCACGGAGCTGCCAGCAGGGCTGTAGACGTTTAGTCTTGTTTATATATCTTGCATGCGTCTACATATTTCCTGTGAGTGTGCTACTTCAAAACAATGGAGTCTTTAATGTAAATGTAATCTTTAACATGTGATTTCATGTTCTATTTTTCTTTGGGGGGAAAGTGTGTGCCGAAATGCTATTTAAATGATAAAATAATAGTTAAATCATTTGTGGTTGTATTTACTCTCTTGGCCTACAAAATTTCACGTAGGTGTTTCAGATTTAACACTCTTTAACTAAAATGTGTCCCACTTTGCTAGTTGTTTAAGTTGATTTTGGGTTAGGCAGTGAAGTAGAAGGGGTTAATAAGGTCGTACTCTGTAGTTGTTGACAAGATGACTGCCTCCTGATAATGAAACAGGAAGAGAGGAGATCTATTAATAGGATTTGTACTTCTGGAATTACATTATTATTATACCAGTGGATATGACTGTTCGGGGTGTGTGTGTGTGTGGTGCATATGGTAAACCACTCTGCAGGTCTGCTGTTAGTCACACTCCCGCGTCTCAAATTGAATTAGCGTTGACAGCGCACAGCGCCAGCCGCGTGTATGTGTGTGTGCACAGGGGGCACTAGCTGTTGGCAAACTGTCTGTCTACGTGTGTGTGTGTGTGTGTGTGTGTGTGTGTGTGTGTGTGTGTGAAACAGAAGAGAAAGAAGGCTTTCCCCCCTGAAATCAATTAAGCGAGTATAGGTCTGTAGTTGGGGGGGGTAAGGGGAGCGCATCCTGTAGAGGGCAGCCCAGACAGACAGCACCATCTGGGGCAGCAGGCGGGTCGACCCTGGGTTGAGACATGAAAGAAGCAGGGCAGGGATGAGAGGAGAGGAGAGTACAGGCCAGCGTTAAATCACTCTTTACTCTCCACCCCGTAGCCTCACCCCAGCCCCTCATCTGCCATCCGATCCATCCGATCCATCAGCCACGGAGCATCATTCTCACTCAATCACTCTCAATCTCTTTCCTTATTTTCCTCTCTCTCTGCCATATCTGTCCCAGGAGTGATAATCTGTCATACACAGGAAGCAAAAAGAGGTAAGAACGATCTATCCCTATGTCAGAGATAGGGGCAAAGAGAAAAAGAATATCTCACATCTCTTGTTCCAAAAGGGTTGAATTATTGGTCCTAAATAAAAACACTGCCAGAGAGTGCCTCTCTCTCTCTCTCACACATACACACACACACACATGCACCTGTAGAATCCCCCTCAGGACAGGGGAAGGGAATTAACACACACACACTCTGTTTTTTAAGGGGAGGGATGGCCCCATGTGATGGACAGCCAGGGTCAGAGTGTGCGTTGTGTTTGTTGGTCATGAGCTGAGTGCTGACAGCCCTCTTCCAGCCACCCTGCAGTCAGACACACAGCTCCACTGATGACAAAACAATTGGCTGGACAAGAACGGGTAAAGCAATTGAACTGCGTTAAGAGGACCTGGTGAAACATGATCATTCATGTGACTGTGAGAGTTAAATTTAGGTGGCAAAATTACACATATATTCAGCACTAAATGTTCAGGCTAGTATGGCAGAGAAGTAATCCTTTAATCAAGTAAAAGCAATACCATCATGTAAAATACTTTATCGGCAAAAAAAATACCCAGAACTAATTATTACTACAGATGTGTCACCATATAAATATCATTTTAATCTTGTAGCTGGTCGAAGTGGAGCTAATTTGATATATTTTTTTCAATGTTAGGTAGTTATATTTAGTGTATAACAATGCATCAGATTTTTTATGTTCTACAGGTGTTTTAAAATCTTAATCTGCAAAGTAACTATAGCTGTATTTAGCTGTAGCTGTTGAAAATTCCCCTGCTTCTTAAGCGAAATACACAATTTAAAAACCCATTGGATTATCTAAAAAATGCATTGTCACACAGCTGAAAACAAGAGTAGTTCTTTTTGATGATGGAAAGCTGATGTTAAAGTTCTCTTGCAGAATGCCCCGAGTCAGTGTTATATTATTATGTTATTGGATCATTATTTTTGATGCATTAACATTAAGAAGTACTTTCATATTGTACTTGAAATGGATATCATTGTAACTACTTTATATACTTTTGGGTGGTTTAATCTTAAACGATCTACCTCTGCACATTAGACGGGCATCTTCACTGTCTCTTCTTAAAACCCACCTCTTTTCCCTGGCCTTTGATAACTGAAATTGACATTTCTTGTTTTGGTTGTATTCATTTATTGTTTTACTGTACAGCACTTTGTGTCCACTTTGGATTTTTAAAGTGCTCTATGAATAAATTTTGATTGATTGATACTACAGTAATACTGTTGAATGTAGCAAAGTAAAAATAATGCAATATTTCCCTCCGAAATGATAGAAGTATAAAGTATCATAGTATTGAAAAACCTCCAAACTGTTCTTAATTACATAGCTACTTTCCACCACTGTAGCACAGCAATGCTTTGTTTTGAAACTATTATACCCATCAGAGACATGTCTGTAAAGTGTTCACTTTACAGAAATGAGTGTATGGTGAAAACAGAGAGGTGTGAAGGAAAGTTCAAGAGCTGTTTGGGTCATTAACACTTTCTCTGATAATGGCATGAGTGTGACGCCCAGATGGAGCACTCAGAGGAAACCCCAGAACACACACACACAAACTTGCAGGCCAGGTGCCAGTCCACATGTTAAAGCGGTTTGTCCTGCACTCATCTAACCTCTGCTCCTGTAAGACAGGGGCCTGCCAGGGAGCACATGCCTATGTAATGCCCTAGTGACCCGTGTCTACACACACACTTGTGGCCATACTGCAAGCACTATGCACACACACACAAACAGAGGAACATGCAAATCCACGTAGCCGCCTGGTTCTGTCAGCACTCCTGTGATCTAATGCTGCAGGATTTCTGATCACAACAGGATCTTAGAGGTCCATATTTTAAAACTAACTTGTTGCTCTTTCCAGCAACAGAGGACGTCTTTGTGATAAAAAAGGACACAGCGGTGGGGCGAGAGGAGAGGAGTGGAATTCCACTATCCGGGAGGCAAAATGTAGTTTCCCTGGTTGATAGGGCACTGGAAGAGCACTTAATAACTGTTAAACTGCCCTTGTTTTTCACATTACTCACTCAGTGTAATTCAATTTCACCCACAGCTGGTTTCACTTTCAACTTTACAGCTGAGCTCAGTCACGTCCCATAATCTGACCTGATAAATAACCAGCTTTTATTGAGTTTGCAGAGAAAATAGCGTCCAGTATAAGCCTTCACAAGAGACTCACTGAGCCAAATATGAGCGAGGCTGGAGGGCACAAGGCTCACTGGGCAAAGGACTGTGTGTAGGTGTGTGTACATTTGAGCGCTTGAGAGCGAGTGTATGGGAGTTATCCTTAGGAGATAACTGACGTATGTGTGCGCTGTGTGTGTGTGTGTGTGTGTGTGTGTGTGCCGTGTATGTTAATCTAATGAAGGCAGAGTATGTTTACACTTCCCTACTCTGTCGAGCTTCTCTCCAGTGCAGGATGCCATTTCACATGAATGGAAACAAATGACTTCAGGGTCAAATTTCTATCCCTTTACTGCCTGTCAATCACTCCAGAACAGCGCAGTAACTTCCCTCCTTGTGTTATTACAAAGTCGAATCAGCCCAGTTTCCATATTATTCCAGCACCACCTTCAAGAGGATTATGTTGACACGTTATTAAGCAAATTAACAATGAGGGGGGACGAACAGCTTGGTAAATCATCAGCAAATGGTTCAGTCAAACTGTGGTTTTCAACCAACTTTTGGGTCTTACAAGTTTTAAACAAAAGTGAAGTTTTGATAAGTAAAATGATTGGACGTGCTTATTACAGTTCTGCGACAGCCACAGACTATTTTCTGTCTTTTATCAGAGCATTTGATTATATTATATATATTATACCCCAGCTTTAAGATAACCAGCTTCAGGCTGTGTTACATTTTGAGTACAGATATGAGTGATATCAATCTTCTCATTTGACTCTCAACAAGAAAGAAAAATTTTCTATTTTTTCCACTTGTACTATAGCATATGGTATTAAAACATATAGGTGCTCTTGTCTTATTCTATGCAATGTGTATTACTCTATTGGAGAGTGACAGGTGCAGACCTCAGCTTTCCTGGTATGAAAGCAATTTGTCTAATTGAAAGATCAGGAATTAGTTGGAAGTTTAAAATGATTGTCCTGCAAATCCAAACATGGAAATGACAGACTGTATCAAATAACCAGCACCAGCGATTATGTCTGTCTGCAGACAAAGGGCACGCTGTTTGATAGCAGCACACCTGACGGCACGTTGAAACCGGGGCCATCCCCTGCCTGAGTTCCTCAATTAACTTCTTCCTGCTATTTCCACGTCCAGCGCGCATTAGCTCACTGCCTTGCTTGGCCATGACAAGTAAATTGCTGTTTGGTTATGACCGTTAGTCGGGAAACAGGCCATTTCCCCCGCTTTGCCTAAACCGCTGTTCCTAGCTCTGCTTAGAGGGAGGGAGGGAGGGAAGGTGCAGGGTTTTGAGTCTGAGCTAAAGGCAGGAATTATCACATCAGCGGCTGAACGGGCGTACCCCCTTTGGTATGGACGAAAAACACAGCCCACAAGTTTTCATTCAGCACACTAGAATTCAGTTTTCTCAATACCTTCCACAAGTCTTCACACAGCACTATGATTTACTGTTGATCCTGGAACAATGTTACCACAATGACTACAATAAAGATGACAGGGCCGCTTTAGCACATTTTAGAGGGAAAGGAGCCTTATTACCTTATTGTGGATTGTGCCTAATGAAAGCTTGTATAGAATAACCCTTTCACCCCGTGCGTCTCTGATTAGTCCAGTTATTGGTAATAAAGTACAGGAATGGAAACTGGCCGGCTGAATCCTGGCCGCTGTTGTTCTTCCCCTAAAACCACAGAGACCTGATGAGCTTGTGTTATTAGTCAGGGGTGACCAAGCCTGACACTGAGATTGAGCTGAGTTTAGAGCTTGAAAAACACAAAACACGCTTTTGTTTCATTTCTCATTCAAAATCACAACCTGTTGCACAATAGAACATTTGTGTTTCTGTTTGACTTTGAAATACACTGTATGCTCATGTGAAGACAACTGAAAAAACTTGGAAACAGTGTTTCCTTTTGTTTATGCACACTGTATGTAGGGGAAAAGAACATTTTGAATGCTGGTACATGACCTGAACAATAATGTGAAAAAAAATATTTTAATGGGCACTTATGGTCAGTTTAACAGTCATGTTCATTAATATTTATATTACATACCTCAGGTCCTATTGCTGATGCTCTTTGGTAACACCAATACAGAAAGTGAAGTTGTTGGCAGGAAAAAGAGGTTCTGCCCTGCGGTAAAGAAACTGTGCCTTCTGACCAAATAAAAATCTACAACCTGCCTACATTTCTGTTCACTCCACTGTTAGTGTTTTTGGTTCTAGTTGAGGTTGCACAGTGAAGAGGATCCATTTCTGTGCCGGTAAATCCAACACAGTGTACAAAACAGTTTTTTAAAAGAAAAAAAGTCCCAACAGCCACAGTTCTGTCTTTATTGCTCCTTTGAGTCTTGGTTGAATAGAGAATCAGCCCTCTCTGTTTTCTTGCAATAAGCTTTGGCTTGTTACACTCAATGGGCCGGAGCCTAATAGTGCGGTCCAGCTGTCAGAGGCAGTGGTTGGTGGTTGGGTGCCACGGAGACTGGCGCAGCAGACAGTCTGTGGTGTCTTCGGCTAGTTTGGCGTGCCGGGAAATAGCTGTGAGTTGGGGGTTCAGGGGGAAGCTGTAGCGGTAAAGACAGTAGGGGCCCGCAGTGTCTGAGAGATGAGGGAGGAGAGAAGGCCCCTGAGGGCTGAAGGGGCTGTGGAGGGGGAAGAGGCACGGGGAGCTCCCCGGAGACCCGTGAAGACACGGGTCCCTATAGTGGGGAGGTTTCTTTGCCGAGAGGAGCGGGAGGTCTGTTAGCGGGGACAGCGGGGGCAGCCCTCTCAGTCTGTCTGCTCCATGGGAGGAGAAGGCTCTGCTGGGCAGTGTGGAGACGGTGGAGGCCTTGCCATAGAGAGGAAGAGCGAGGGTGTGGAGAGTGGCGTCCGGGAAGGAGAGCGTAGAGACGGAGAACGGATGAAGGGCTGAAGAAGAGGAGAGCGGGAGGAGGCTCTTCACGCTGCTGGTCGGTGACCCTGAGCTCCCTGTCGAAGAAAGAAAAAAAAGACGTCAGAAACTCAAATTACAAAGACAAAAACAGCTTGGAGCAGAGAAGAAATAAGAGCTGCAGCACAGTACCTTGGAGCTGTATGGTGAATGGCTTGAAGTCCAAGCTGAGAGGGCCTCTCCAGGGATATGACTCCAACAAGCCATCCAACACTCCTCTACACACACACACACACACATACATATATACTGTAAAAGCAGTGAAAAATGTTATTTCAGGTATTTAAATATTTGTTCTGAGAGGTGTGAAATTCTGCACTACACAGTTCAACTTCATTTGATGGTTTTATGTGGTGTCAAATGTCAGCTTAAATCCCTCTGGGGTCCTTTACCAGAGTGTTTTCTGGGCTAAAACAAGTTTTGATGTTTGGTGAGGTTTTCTGTACCTATTCCTTCCGGGATCTCTGAAGCCCTTGGCGAATGGGTTCCTGTCGATCTTCAGTTTCGTGATCTTTCCCCGGAGAGAGGAACAGACATGGGTTAGAGTGGACGCGTCAACCGCTGATGTGTTAAGCTAACAATGAGCTCAGCTTTACAACAGCATGCAGAGTGGCAGAGCTCTCCCTTGGCAGACTGCATCTCCCGGCAGCACCCAGGGCGCTCAGCCATGTCAAACAGGGTTCTCGGAGGTCATACGGTTTTATTTGGTGCTTTAATGAGCTGTGGACTCCAGCAGTCGGCCCAGTCGCAGCTCGTTACTGAGTTTCTGTAATAATACATTCGCTGATCGTAAAATCAGCCCTGATGAAAAAGAGCTGGCAGTCCCTGCGGACGGCTCTGTTACAGGAGGAATGGTAGCCAACAGTGGGGTCAACTTCCCTGCACAGGAACACACACTCTGAGCAACTGGCACAGTAGAAAATCAGGACACTGCAATTGAGCTGATAGTACAGAGAAGTGGGCCTCATGCCCTTTTTTGAGTATGAATTTTTGGGCTGTTGATTGATTATTGAGGGATATTACAATCAGAGTGTGCACAGACATTGAAAATACATGCATACGTAACATCAGAGATGCTGCGGCTCCCTACAGTATTGTGTAACAGGAACAATTCAGTTGTTTAAAAACTGCAAATAACTAAACATGCTGAATTTATTGTACTGTGTTTCATAAAATGCAGTAGTCTCTAAACCCATCGCTCAAATCCTTTGTTTGTGATCATGTTTCAATTTTTTTTTGTGTTTTTCAGGATCAGTTAAAGTTTCAGTGATACCTGTTGATTCTGATAGGCTGTGACTGTGGTGAACTCTGTTTCTGGGAAGGAGAAGCTGTGCACTCCTTCAGCAGGCAGCGACTGGATCTGTGACAAATCCATCCGAGGGTCGTGCCGGATGATGTGCACACGTGGCTTGTATTTATGCATCGACTGAAGGATAATCTGGGTGAAGAGATGAAGAGGATATTTTAAATTGTACATGCTGAACCTCAGCTATATCATTATCTTTAATGGGAACTACAGGAACAGACATATAGGGCTCCATCTAAGGTTTATCAATTCGTCTGAAGATATTTTTTTCAGTTAGCCATCATAATTTCCTAAAGGTGACGTCATCAAATTACTTATTTTGTCCAAACCCCAATTTTTCTTATTTAATTTCAGATAAGAGATAGAGAAGCAGCGAATCCTCGTAGTTGAGAAATTGCAATCAGAGAACGTTTGGCATTTTTGCTTGAAAAATTAAACAATATTTAACGCTCTATGAAAATTTGTTTTCATAATTTGTTCTCAAAATTTTTCTGTCCATTAATTAATTGATGAATCCACTAATTGTTTCAGCTCCACAGTATACAGTTAGTTGTCCAGTAGTTTGTGGATAGTGATAAAAATGTTCCGAATCATTTTCCCATTTAAAAACAGCTTGTTCTGACTGCAAATTGCTTCAGTTACACAAATTAGTGCACTAATAAGTGTATTAGTATTAGTATGTAATATATTACATATTATGTTATGTACATAAAAACGAATAGATTTATAGATAAATGTGCTATTTAACTAACAAAACATCAAATACCATTACATTTTCATGCAAATTTACATCTTTAAAAGGAATGGAAGTAGTACAACCATCAGTAAAACTGATTTCCCCAAATTTTATTTTGCTGCTTATAGTGTAGCTTTTGTGTTGTGTTATTATTTGTTTAATTTTGCATATTTGGTAGTAGTATTATACACCCATAGCATAGTAGTAGTAATTTGTGAATTACAATGTAAAATATATTTAAATGAACAGTTTGTTCTGCTTTGGATTTTTCCTTTTTACCTGTTATGGCAGAAACCGAAAATCTTTTTAAAAAAAGATATATGGTAATGTAATGTATATAAGGTTTGACAATAGAAAACAGATATTTTTTTCTAAACAACACAAAGCAGCTGTGCTGACAAATTTAATGCCAAACACCATTATGTGTCAGCTTCAAAAAAGGTACAACATTCAAGGCTTCTTCATTAGTGTTTAAACCAAACTAACAAATAACAGAGGTAAACAGAGGCCCTACAGTGTGGTGAAATGACCACAACAACATCAGGGATTATGAGGCTGTTTTAGAGAACCAAGTTGTGCAAACACACTGTTAATAATACACAAAATTAAGGAAATTATAGCTTGAAATCTGCACCCTTAGCACTCTTTTGTACACAGTTTCTACATTCCGTCATCATGTACCAGAATAATGAATCCTGCATAAGCAGTAATTCCAGACTGATTTTATAAACATGAGGATCAAGTGAAAAGCCTCCTGCAGCCTGGAGTCACCACATCTGTACATCACTGAACCTTTGCAGGAAGTGCAGGAGCTGAGAAGGATTTCCACTTCCTTTATCCCTAAAATACATACTTCCTAAAGAAGTATCTGGACTACATGGTTCAATACACATAACCACTTTGTATTGTTACCTAGACAGACAGAAAGAGGAAGCCGCTTGTGCTCAGATGGGTTACCTACATGTCCCTTGTCGTCCATCTCGTTGTTGGTGAGTTTGACGCGGTCAAAGCTGATGACCTGACGCATCCACGTCTCTCCTGCGCACGGCGAGTCGGGGTGCACGTAGAGCCTGGGTGAGATGCAGGAGTGGTCCGTGTTTCCAGCCACCATCCACTGCGAGCTGTGGTACACATACCTGCGGGAGAATATACATTTATTTATACAGTAAATAAATTAATAGGTAAATAGGGGGGTTTAATTATTTTATTTTAACACATACACACACCTGTAGCGCTTTGAGTCCACGGGCATGACGTCCATTGCGATGTAATACTGGTGGCACGGGTCCAGATTGCGGACTTTGACGCGCACAGAGGGAAACATTCTCCTGATGAGAGGTGAGAAAAGAAAAAAATCATCAGAAATTGGAAATGACTCACGCTTGAGTCCCTTTTAATAGGCTATAATCTGCTATAATAATTTCTTAAAATGGGTGGAAGTTTGTTCATATAGTATGGATTTTACATCATAAAACCACACAGAAAGAGATCAGGAAGAACTTTTCTGCCTGCGGCAGCGTAGTTCCTTGAGGGCATCTTCACTGCCGAGATTTATAGCGTGTTTTCTCTGTAATTGAATAAACGGAACATAGAATACAGCAAGTATGTCCCAGTAACTCATTTCTGGGTCGAAAAACAAAAGAAGACGCACATGGCTACCTAGTAGACCAGACATTAGTTTCTTTGAAACTGAAAGATAAAGTTAATTAAATGGAACAATAATAGGCTATCAATGTCTCAAACATTATGTGACTGGGTCATTTAAAACACGTTTTCTTTTGAAGTTTGTCTGGAGAATAGAGTTTTATTCAGATCTGCAAAACGTAATAAGTTTCAGTGACTTTCAACAAAACCTAGAAATCTACCTCATAGAATATGTAATGCACAAAATTTCTTTATAAATTCCAAAATATCATCAATGTCCATGAAATTCTAATCAGTCTATATTTCTATACGTTGAGTCAATCCGATATATATAATATATAGGCCTATAAGTATTTGACTAAGTATTTTCTGATCTAAAGTCTATATTTTATGTATCTTCCCAGATCAGCTCATTTGAAAGTGTAAAACTGCCAGTTCTGCAGCTCACTTCTGATTGGCTGCGGCGCGTTCAGAGCCGTTTCAAAACTGATAGTCTACACCTGTGAAAACGAAACGGTTCATGTAAATATCACATCATCAATGATATCGCTGACACTGACCACTCCAGCTTGTATTTTATTTATAACAGACTCTCGAACAAGGAAAATATAAGATGTTATTATGACGGATTGAATACGAAAGGCCCGCTACAGCGGTTATAGATTGAGCTAATGGCTGAATGGATATGGATGAACAGGAGAGACTGTGAGGCCCTGGGTGCAGAGTAAGGACTCTGATCTTTTTATCTATGTGATTAAACTCACTTTTGTAAAGTTTTTGTTTATCATGTTCATCTTTTATTTAAATGTATAGGACCCAAACCAATTGTTTGTTTCGTTGTAGCTGAAGTGTGTTTACACCAACTAAAGTATTTTATTATGAACTGGCCCAGTAGTTGCCTGTCAAATTATTGTTCCTGTAATTTTAAGTCTTTGAAAGAAACAATGCATAAAGTCGGTGAAGGGCACCTAAAGGCTGGGTTTGCAACAGATAGCCTAACCTTATCCGTAACTGCTACAGCCCACTGTAAAATCGGCTTTTCTAATCCACATTTTGTACCTGCCAGCTTTGGTGATGATCATCTCGGTACCGATCTCGTAGAATCTCTTCCACAGCTCGGAGCCCTGCAAGTCTACTCGGACCTCTCTGTCCGGGCGGCAGTCGTTCTCTTTCGACTTGTTCTCTTCCCCGCTGGGGTCAGCCTCTTCGGTCCTTGATCTGACAGTATGTCTGTCCAGGTCACAGGAAGTGTCCTCTGTTCTCCTCGCTGTTGAACCTGCTTTCTTCGTCTGGCTGACTGGATATTCGTTCGGGCCTACAAAGGAGCAAAGACTAGGATGAGAAAATAAGCCTAGTAATACATATGCAAAAATTTAACATTTTGTTTTCCAAAATTAATCATTTACAACTTGATTTGAAGAAGCAGTAGATATCAATAATAATATATATATTTTTAAAAAGCCAGCTAACACGGAGAATATTTGCAATGCCTTTTTTTCTCGAAAATAATTGTATTTGATCATTTTGTTTTTTTAAATGATGAAATAAAAACACAAGTTAAACTGTGAAGATGTAATAAATGAATAAATTATAGGTTTAATGAAGAAAAATAACTCGCAAACTGCTGATTGTGAAACGAAGTGGTGGTAAAATGCGTGCAGGCCTATGTGAAAGCAATGCCATGTTCTTGAAAATCCAGCAGTCCCTCTGCCTCACCGGTGAAGATGCTCGTATCGATGCCGGTGTCTGCAGCTGAACTTGACTCGTGTCCCTCCGACACTTTCATCCTCTTGCAGGGTTTCCCGACCAGCGCCTCAACCGAAAACGCGTGAGCCCGGGAACTGAGACCCTGCATCTTGGCGAAATGTCCCGTGTTTCTGCGAGTCGTATATCCGTCTGAACTTTGACTTTGTCCCGCACAAAATTCAGTGTCCCAGCTCATTCAGGGCAAGACGGGGCAGACCAGGCAGCAGCAGCAGCAGCACCTCAGGGAGCCCCTCTTCTCTCACGGCGGCTCCGTGACGCTGCGTAATTGATCCGGAGCATTCCCATGTGTTCTCCAAGACGTGCGCCCTCATCCAAAATCTTGATTACTGGCACGTCTCTCCACCTCACTGCAATATTTCCCTCTCTCCCCCTTTATCCGTTTCTGTGTCTTCCCTCTCCTTTCTGTCTCACAGAGGGCTTGTTCCTCTGGTCCCCCTCTGCGCGTCACAGAGAGGGAGGGAATAGCGCAGCAGGCATTCCTCCACATTGGCCTGCGCTGCAAAAAATATCTATTCATACTCATGCCGGCCTTCAATCCTAGTTTCCTGAGACAAACGAGAAATTTATGTTACAGCAAAGGTGACATAAAATGTTTTTTTTTCTCTGAGGCAATCACATTTCCCCCCTTTGGAAATGTCACAACTTTGTATCCATGCAAAATATGGCAGATTAACAGTTCAGTCAGTTCATCAACAGGTGTAATCTGATTCCAGATTGACTTCAGTTTATTTTCTGGGAAACAAGTCAGATGAGCAAATCGGCGTTCCTATAAAACTAACGAGACTCAGTAAATAACAGATATTTTTTGCAGTGTTCGCTTGGTCTCAGTGGCCTTTGAGCATCCAGGACAGAAGACTCATACAATCTTCAGGAGCGATATACCACTGTGAAATGATGATACAGTTCAGGCTCAACTGTAAAAGATTTGTGATACATTGCAGGTTCCGTGGATCCAAAAACAAGTTAGACCAGTAGGCCACAAAAGAATAATGATAATAGAGTCAAACTAAGTGGTGAAAGTCATTTCGGCAGAATTTTCTAGAATGATTAACTTAAAATGAGTGAAGCAGGTTTTCAACACAAGGAAGCTTTTTGATTGACCTGCGTGTTTTCCATGTTGCTTCCCTCCATTTAGACATCTGATAGATAAAAAGAATGAAAATTTTTAGATCCCTGGAAGGGGAGTCTAGGCACAAATATTTAAGTCTTTTAATTTAGACCATCTGGACGGTACAATATCTCCATGAAACTCGTTGCATTTCTGTTGAAGCTAACATTTCCTATATTAATTTGAAGGCTTCCCTTAAAGCGGTCTCTTGTCTCTCGTCCCTCCGGTATAGAAGAAGGTTTTTTTTCTTTGCGGTGCCCGGTGAGGGTGTGCGCAAGTCTGGTTCTCATAAGTGCGGAGATCAGATGGAGTTCCGCGCACGGGGAGAAACTAGGCCGTAATGACAGTTCGGGATTATTACATTACTGCTTGACATGAAATAGATCCGCTTTACACAAATAAAAGTCAGCGAAGGCTCTATTTAAAATGTTTTTTAATCACATGACATAATTGCTGTGAGGAGAAAACAAATGAGGGCTGTGTTTATGGCACGGTTGGTTTGGTTGGTGATGGAAATCTCTGACAACAGCCGGGAAATGGAGAAGTATGACCAACCGGAATCACATGCTCTCTGTCATCATAACCTGTTTCAGGACTGCGGCCTGGATTTATGTTTATTCTATCCCAACTTGTCATGTTCTTTCAATACTGTAACAAAAGTGCATCCCAAAATGGGCGGCCTGTGCGCACAGGCATATGAAATAAAAGATGCAAGGAACTGATAGAAGTTGCCTGTGTAGTTTCCTTCCACTCAAGTTTGAGGGATAATTTTTCCATGTTGTCTCTAGCAGTCAGCTCATAAATCTTCGTCATGGGATTATGAGATGTCAGCCCAGTGATGACGGGCGCGCAGGCAAGTGATGCCCGGCCCTGCTGAACACAACAGGAAGCTGCTCCTCGTTGTTATATGATTCTATATCCAGTGCGTATCAACATTTGTGCCATTCAGGGATGTTTGGCACACATGTTTCCTCTTATTAAGCACAATGCACGCTTGGCGGGAAACAAGAGACTCGAATCCAATTTAGCATGCATGGTCTCAGGTTTCCATTAATGCGGAAGTTTGATGACCAGCTGCAATTAGGCTTTCCGATCATTTTGTGCCTTCAGGCTCGCTCGCATGCTATTGATTTGCGTAGAAAACGGCGTGATTACTACTCATTGGTGAATAATTGGTTTGCAATTGAAACTCGCACCCACAAACTGCAGGCTCAAGTGGCAACACATCAATCATGAGGGTAGGCTATAACTCATACTTTAGTTTGTTTAAGGGGCGTTTTTAAATAGTTTTTTTTTCTCTGTGTATCAAAACAAATGCTTTGTTTTATGAAATTCACAGTGTCATGTTTTCACTATGATTTGATACCTGCCACTTAGACTGAAGTGTGTGTGTGTGTGTGTGTGTGTGTGTGTGTAGCTGAAGGCTGGTGCCCAAAGAGTAATCAAGACCAGCCATTCACTCATGGTAGGCGTCTGTCTGTACTGTATATGTGCACATGCTCACAAATTAATGTGCGTGTGCGTGTGTGTGTGTGTGTGTGTGTGTGTGTGTGTGTTTATAAACAGGCCTGTCTGTCTGTTCCTCAGTGCTGAGTGGATGTGACTGGGCCCCCTGATGGTTTGTTTTAAGTTGGATCCTGATGCTGAGCAGTGTGTGTGTTTGTGTGTGAGTGTGTGTGTGTGAGTGTGTATTTGTGTGTGTGTGTGTTTGTTTTGATGTGTGTGTGTGTGTGTGTGAGTGTGTATTTGTGTGTGTGTGTGTGTGTGTGTGTGTGTGTGTGTGTGTGAGAGAGAGTTATTCTGGGCATGGGCTGCAGGAGCAGATCCCCACTCACTGCCAAACGTCAAACTTCCACCACTGTGACACATGTGAAGTGTTTGAATGTAGAATGCTGTACACACTTAGTGTGTTGTGGCACTAATGGGATGTGAGTTCTTTGCAGTGCACATGAATGAAGACTCACCTGGAAAACACACTCTCTCTGCTGAGACAATGACGTGCAAGTTTCCAACACTGGTTGCAGACATTTGATCTTGAAAGCTTCATCTTTAGCGAGGAAGTAGCTTATGGGCTGTTTGCTATTTACGCATGTTGTTACTCGCTGCTTCTACCATTTCTACTTTAAATAGAAAGCGCCAAAACATCCTGAACTGATGTGAAGGAAAGACCAAGAAGATGAAGAAGAAGAAGGAGAAGATGAGAGCAGAAACAGAATTAAGGCAACCAGTCAAAGCTTTTTACAGAGTGATTACAGAGTGACAAATTCCTTTGACCCTGACATGTCATCAGCTCCATGCTGATGTGTGTGTGTGGGTGTGTAGTGTCACATCTGCTACTCATAACTTCCTTCTTGTCCCTCTCTCGGGGGGTACATCTGTCTGAGGTCCAGAGTGTCTCTCAGACTGTCGAGTCCCTGCAGGGATCCTCTCTGTGATCCTCATGGCTCCTGCTTCTCCAGCAGCTCTAATGGGAGAGCCAGTGAGACGCTGATCACATCCCTCCCTGCCTATACGAGTTAATTGACTGTGTCTGCTAACACAGTTGCATCTTGCCACTTGATTTGCTGTTGAAAAACGTTCAAAAATTCTCTGCTCCAATCAGCTGTTGCTGAGAGAAAATTGTGTTTAATCTAATGATTTTGCTGCTGATGTGGAAGAGGAAAATCTCTCCTTGTGATCCACAAGACACAAGTGTTTAAGCTGGCTGCTGCAGTGTGACCATGCCATAATCACTTTCAACAAAATATGCTGCTTTATTACCATTCTTCAATCAGTAAATAAATCAACCAGTCAAACTGTTTGTATAATATCTTTTTAATGCAGATTAGTGCAGTACAAAGTGCTTTACAGGTGACTGACATCTATGATAGTAAAATAAGTTAAACAACAGAGACTATACAAAAACAAGAATTTAGTAATATAAAATTAAAGTGTAAATAAAAACACTTTTTAACAACAAAACTAAAATCATTTTCAAAAGAGAAAAGACAAAACATTAAAGGAGGTTTGTAAAATCATAAAATATTCTAATAAGAGCCAAGATAATCTTGCTAATCTTACATTAAAGGATAAGGCTGGTGATATTCTATATTTGTACTATTGAATAGTAATAAATAATTCTACAATAATACCAAACCAACTTTAAATTGATCCTACTAACAAGTACTTTCTGTTTCTGTGAGATAAGTTATTCCTCTGTGCTAGAGCTCCACTGTTGTCCAAAAACTGAGTCACTCTGTTACACTGGCTGATATGTTCCTCACATGGGCACTGTAGTTCATTTTCATTCAGTCACACATACACTGTCCTGCTGCCAGAAAGACTAGAGCACCAACCCCGGGACCGAAAATCTTCCCCAACAAATACACTATGTCCTCCTTTTTGAGTAACGTTTGGTAAAAAACAGCGGAAATAACAGGCTTGGAGCTGAGAGCCACACACAGGGTCAGAAAGTATAAAGTGGCAGACTAAGGTGCTGTTGGTTTTTGGTATTTTTATGGGATTTGTCGACTGAATGAAAACTATAGAATGTTGCCAAACATATCCTATAAAGATATAAACACTCTGATCCTCTGTCTCTCTCTCTGTGGTCCAAATTTCTGAATTATTTGCAGCCGATTCACATCTGGATGAGTATTACAATAGTCAAGCCTTAAAGAGATGAAAATGTAATTTGTTCTTCTGCGCTGCTATCTGTTCCTTGCCTTCTGTGCAGCACCTCTGCGCTCTGCTCTCTGGGTCACTGAGCTGGCAGCGTTTGAGGAGCCTGGGCATGAGGCCTGGCACTACCGCCTCCCCCCTACCCACAGTGTAGGAAGATTTAATGGCTCATGTGTCACGGCATCCAGCCTTCTCTGGCTCCTTCTGCCTCGGCCTGGCCTGGGTGGGTAACGAGGGGATGAGGGGCAAGAGGAAAAGAGGAGAGGATAGTCACATCTCTGCCAAGATGGAACCTCCTCCTCTCACCGCAAGTGTGTTGTGAATTATCTTCTCCCTCTCCCCCCTTCTTTTTCTTTCTCTTCCTAAGCCTTTAGTTATCCCTTGCTACTCACCCTCTTCCTATTAAACACATATAGATCTTCAACTGTCCACAACACTTTCATCAGGCCCGCTGTGAATCCGGCTCTATGGCACATTCATCTCACTTGTTTGGATAGCTAATTCTTTTTGATGAAAATTGCCTTTTCTCTCTCTCTCTCTCTCTCTCTCTCTTCCATTCTCTCTCTCCCTGACTGCCAGTAACTGTGTGGTTAATGGTTGCGGTA